ATCTTCTTACAGGGACAAGTCAAAATGTATAATACTCTCACTGTAGAGCAATTTATAAGACTTTGAATTTTATAATGAGTGCTATTCCTTGAGTCAAAAAAAGAGTCTGTGCGGTCCACATATTTACAGATTTGACATTTTCCACATTTAAACATCCCTTTAGTACGTGATTTTAACCATGTTGTCTGTTTTAACGGTTGATAATCAGAGTGAATAAGGAGGTCACCAAGATTTGGTGCTCTTCTTGCTACCATTAGGGGACGCTCACCTACAATTTTATTCAATTTGGGACATTGAGTTAAAATCTTCCAATGTTTTTCTAATATTTGTTTTACAGCTTGCCATTGGGCCCCAAATTGAGTTATCATTCTAACAGGTTGCTCACTTAATTTGACCTTCTCCTCCTTTTTAGGAGATAATAAATCCTTACGGTCAGTTTGATATGCCCGTCTCCGAGCTTTTCTAACTTGAGAGTGAGAGTATCCCCGTTCCCTAAATCTTCTATAAAGATCCTGTGCTTCCATCCTAAAGTCATGAATATTGGAACAATTTCTCCGACATCTCAGAAACTGTCCCACTGGAATTCCTGAAATCAGTGAACGTGGGTGATAGCTTCTGGCCTCTAATAGGGTATTGGCAGCAGTAGGTTTCCTATATGTCTTTGTGAGGAGTCTTCCGTTCTCAAGTCTAATTTCCAAGTCCAGAAAGGAGATACACCTTTCATCAAACACATATGTGAGTCCAATGTTAAAGGGATTTTGATTTAACTCCTCCATAAAAAGTTTTAATTCCTCTGATGTTTCTCTCCAAACGAGGAACACATCGTCTATATATCTTAACCAAATCTGGACATTAACAAGAAACCTTGTTGATCTGAAGACGACCTGCTCCTCCCAAAAACCTAGATGCAAGCACGCATAGGCCGGAGCCCACGGTGCTCCCATACTGGTACCTCTAATCTGTTGATAAAAGGTATTATTAAATTGGAAAAAATTATGTCGTAACGCAAAGTCCAACAACTCACTAATAAATTCATTCTGTCCTCCTAAAGTGGGGTATGTTTTATCAAGGAAGTAGAAAGCCGATCTCAAACCACATTCATGTGGGATAGATGTGTAAAGTGATTCCACATCTATTCCCACTAGAATGGAATTTTCATTGATAATTAAATTTTCAATTTTAGCCAACACATCCTTAGTGTCTCTTACATAGGAGGGAAGATTTGGAACCATGTCTTTAAGAAACAGGTCAATGTATTTCCCTGTTTTATCTAGGGGACCATTAATGGCAGAAACAATGGGTCTACCTGGGGGATTTTCTTGATTTTTATGTATTTTAGGGATAATATAAAAGGTAGGGTGATTAAATTCTTCAGTTCTCAAATACTCATACTCTTTTTTTAGTTAGAAGGCCCACCTCTTTTCCCAGTGTTAAGATGGAGTTTAGTTTTTTAGCCACCACATGAAGCGGGTTAGTGGCTACTTTCCTATACGTAGATGAATCTCCCAATAGGCGCTTCACCTCTTTAACATAGTTTTGTTCATTTAGAATAACTACATTGCCCCCCTTATCACTTCTCTTAATTACAATATTCTTGGTCTCTTTTAATTCCTTGAGGGCTTTTCTTTCCTTCATTGTAAGATTGTCACCAATTGGCATTTTCCACTCAAGATTTTTAAGGTCATCAGCAACAAAATCTAGAAATGTCGATATCCTCATGTTGGAACGTATTTTCGGCATTTTAGTCGACCTAATATTTAGATCAACTTTTCTAATCACCTCATTGTGATTATCCATATCTAATTCATTCTCATCACCATCCTCACTTTCCTCCATGAGAGACATCAACACATCGAGCATCTTGCGGTCCTTCATGGAGGAGTCCGAAGCCATATCCTCCAACATAGTGGGATTACCATGTATCATTCTTAAAAAAACTTTTCTCAGAAATAAATTGACATCTTTAAATACCTCGAACTCATCCATGGGGGTCACTGGTGAAAAAGACATACCCTTATTAAGTAAAGAGATATGTTCCCTTCTGAGTGGAAAATTAGCCAAATTGATTACCTTCCTGTCATGGGTAGTTTCATCTACTGCCTCCTCTGACTTCTTGTTCCGCAATGATTGGCCAGTCTCGCTGCCACTCACATCCTGATAGCCAGTGATTGGCTGTCAGGATGTGTGTAGGCGGGGCAGCGTGACGAACGTGAGAGGAGCTAGGCTCCTCTCACAGTCCGCCCTGAAGACCGGAACGGCGCGGGAACACGGCGAGAGGAACGTGCGGAGCAAAGGTAAGTGAATTGACACAGGGGGGACTTGGGGACTTACTATGGGGGATGAATTACTATATGGGGGATGAATTACTATGGGGGATTAATTACTATGCTTACTATGGGGGATATTACTATACTTACTATGGATGACACATACACATCATTCATCTACTCTTGGTCCGTCCCCCGGGTCCAATATATGAACCCATTGCGGCCCTCAAGTCAAAAAGTTTGCCCACCCCTGGTATAGATACTGCAATTTACGCCATTTTTTTGCTATACAGCGCTGCGCTAGTTTAACGGACAATTGCGCGGTCATGCAATACGGTACATAAATGAAATTTACATCCTTTTTTTTCCCCACAAATTGAGCTTTCAGTGGTATTTGATCGCCTGTGTGGTTTTTATTTTTTGCACTATAAAAAAAAAAAAACTGACAATTTTGAGGAAAAAAAAAACAATATTTTGGACTTTTTGCTATAAAACATGTCCAGTAAAAAAAAAAAAAAAAAAAAAAAAAAAAAATTTAAAAATCAAATTTAGTAAAATTTCTGCCAAAATGCATTCTGCGACATGTCTTTGCTAAAAAAAAAAAAACCCAATAGGTGTAAATTAATTGGTTTACGTGAAAGTTATAGCGTTTACAAATAGCAGGAAAGATACTGGGATTTTTCGTTTTTTTTTTTTATACTAATAATGGCGGCGATCAGCGACTTATGGCGGGACTGCGGCAGACATTCTGACACTGGGGGGTACTGACATCCCCAGTGACACCAATACAGTGATCAGTGCAAAAAAAAAAAAAAAAAAAAAAAAAAAAACACTGACACTGACACTGTACTAATGGCACTGGGGAGGAAGGGGTTAACTTTATTTTTCAGGGAAAGGGTTATCTATGTGAGGGGAGTGTTTTACTAGGGGGCGGGGGTGTGTGCTGGATGGGGACAGGCTGATCGGGAGAGAGAAACTCTTCTGTCGCGATCAGCTTGTCCTCGAGCTGTCAGGGAAATGACAGAAAGCACAGCTACTGCAGCTGTGCTCTCTGTCACTGATTGCCGCCAATCACCGGGAGATAGCCGGTCCTTACCGGCTGTGACCCGGTGACTGACATCTGCGGCTGTGATCAGCGGGACAGGTAGGGCGGCCGCACGCCCCCTACCGGTTTACAAAACACACGTTTTAAAACGTGGTTTTGCCTGCCCGTGCCGCCCTGCCAACGTATTTATACAGTGGCTGGGCGGCATGTGGTTAAAGCGGACCTCCAGCTTACCCTCAGTCTTGCACGGTTGTACAGGCTCCTCTTCGGGACTGAAACTTCTTTTTTGCAATATCACTGCGCACTGTAGGCTTCTCAATTTAAGTTAGAAGCTGTAACAAGTCAGACAGAGCCCGCCTCATTTCCTGACTGGTAGATGCCCAGCACCATCTAGGTCTTTCCTCCTCAGCCCGACTACCCCTGGCCCGCCCCTTTCATATATTTGATTTCAGTTTTCAATCATGGAAGCTCAGCATACAACAGACTCGACATCCACCCATCAAATTTGCATAACTCCTGCCAAGAACCAGCCTACTGCTTTCACCAGGACTGAGTGCCCATTAGAGTACTGAGCAGGGGCGGACTGACCATTCGAACACTAGATATAGATTTGTATAGCGAGCGCTTACTGGTCAAAATCAGATACAAGCCGCTAGAACACCAAAAAAGGCAACCAACATAACCTTCCAAGACAACGTATAGAGAAAAGGTGCAGCGCTATTAGTAATCGAATATCAATATTGCTTCAAAATAAAGACATTAAATTATAATTCTCATAAATGCGTTATTAAATCTAGTGTCCAAAAACATAAAAAAGTGTGATGTGCAGGTTCTGTCCGGTCTCCTTCTTTAATAAGAATGAATGATCCGAAGATGAACAGGGAAATAAATGAAATGCGCACTCACCAGAAGTGCGTTTATAAAAACACATAAAAGAAGTTGTCTTTTCTTGTCCAATACATCTAGGTCCTTGGCTCTCGGGTAAAGCTGTGTTCTCTGATCCTCACCACTCATCCATTATGGCCAGGTTCCCTGATTCCTCAGACATTCATGCACCTCTGGGGTCCCTCCTTAAGCTCAGTACTGCGAAAGGGTGGTGCTCATAAAGAGCCCAATAAGGGACATCACATAGCGTGATACTGCGTAAAATACTTTATTTGCAAAGCAGAGGTGAAAAGACAAAAGGAAAAAAAATACTGACCCCAGTGATTACAGATGGCCACCAACGGTGGCTAAGATGTCCAATTGCTGTAGCCCCTCTGACGCGTTTCGTGCTATGCACGTTCTCAAAGGGTACAGGGATTACAGCAGGGACATCTTCATAGTTCTATTTATATTAAAGACTGGCAATCGCGCTGATTGTGCCGGGGAAACTTGAACACTGCCCGGGGAAAACTTGAACACTGCCCGAGGGCCCGGGGTCAGTAGGGGGCCCCATGAAATGCCCCTGGTACCTTTTATAGGCTTTTTTTGAGTGTGGGCAAGGACATAGTGGCCCCATGGTCCCCTATTGCCCGGGGGCCCTATGAGTTGTCAGTCCACCCCTGGTACTGAGGAAAGGTGCTGTGATGCTTTAAGGAAGCACCATGACTGCCCTTCCATAAACCACAATTGGCCTGAACACACAAGGGCCAGTCACCAGGAACCTTACCAAAGCAGACCCAATGGTATTATAAACTGTTACGTACTGGTTGGCATCTAGCAGGATGACTTGGACATTGTCCACAATGCACTCGGTGTCCATGGGTAAAGTGTTTATAAACTCCTTCTCCACCCGCAACTTACTTGCCACAAGATTCCCTGTGATCTGTAATACGAAAAGTGAAAAAGAAAAAAAAAAAAAAAAAAGAAAAAAGAAAAAAAGAAAAAAGAAAAAAAAGGAATAAGGTTACATTGTACATAACCTATTCAATATTTACAGCTCAAATCCAAAAAAAAAAAAAAAAAAACAATCTTGTAGAATCATTAATCTCCACATTGGACAATGCCTAAAGTTTTTTTTTTTTTTTTTTTCCCTATGTTTGGATCAACTAGGATTTTGAAATATATGACAACACAATAGCAGCCATAAACCCCATCGCTGCCAAAACATCTTAGACAGATCTTCCTCAAACAGCTTTTGTTTATCGTCAAAACAAAAAAAAAAAAAAGAAAAAAACAAATCAAATCGACAAAAATGCCTTATTTTTGAATATTAGCTGGTGCATGCATGCTCTTTCCATTACTATGAATTCCAAAAGCACAGGGTGGAACGTTGTGCTGATGCAGATGTCCTGAATCCTGAGAGCTGTAAAACAGGATGACAATGAGGCTCCTAGTTGGTTGTAAACCTCAGACACAAAATATGAAGAAAGCCTATTCCTCTATAGTGTGTGCTTGTCATTTCTGTCGGCTGCCTCATTTCTTCTGCATTAGTCACTTCTGACATGTTTTCCTGACACCAAGAGATAAAAAGGTGACAGCAGAGCGAGCTCCAGCCTGTGACTGACAGCCTCAGCTGGGGGGGGGGGGGGGGGGGGGGAAAACTTTCCTCCAATTAGCTCTCAGAGTTCTCTTCACTGGGCTCTGCAGAGTGTAACGTCAACTCCGCGCCCCCTGCTTTCTGAAAGCACAGATATGCTTTATAAAATTGTATACTTTGAACATCTCAGAGAGCTAAATCAGTGTCCCAATCTACTTGTCCAGATTAAAAAAAAAATATATATATATATTTTTTTTTTTTAACCAAAACCGTATTTAAAATCGGAGGCGATATTAGGAATGTTTTAAAAACAAAAAGGGGTTATATGGTGACTTAAACAGCGCAATTTTAAACATATTAAACGTTTATCTCCTCCTCCCCTCCCTGTCTCCAGCACTGTACTCAGGGACTAGCAGGGAGCAGAGAAACCTTGCAGTGTAATGAGCACTGATTGGGTGCTCCTCAGGAAAGGGGAGTGTCGGGCTTATCCTTCATCCCTTTCACTGCCAGAGCCGTTTTTTGGAAAAGATTAAAAATCATTTTAGGCCTGAAGATTATACAAAACCCCCAAACATGATATTTTCTGAAATCAGGGGCCCTAGAGAATAAAATACTGGTAGTTCCAATTTTGTACGTCGCATGTTATTACCGCAAAATTTCAGTAAAAAAAATTCAAGTTAGTTAATTTTAGAGCACAAAACAAAAAAAACCCCAATAAGTTATCCTATTTTTTTATAAAATATAACAAGTAAACAGATATCCAACTTGTCAAACCTTAAATTTGCGTGCACTTGTGAAATGGCAATGAACTTCAGTACCCTATATTTTCTATAGGCGACACTTTTAAAGCCCCTTCTAAGTCATCAGTATAGTGTTACAGAGGAGGTCTGGTGCTAAAATGTCCCCTATGTGATTATTTGTTGGTGACAGGTTCTCTTTATGGAGACATCCAAGGTTTAAAAGACCCTGGATGTCTCCCCTCTGCTCCCCTGAATGTAATGCAGTGCACACTGGAATCTCTCAATGGGGACCCGGAAGTGACATCATAACGTAACTTCTGGGTCAGGACGAGAAGGGGAGGGGAGTAGACGTGTCCGCTCTCTTCCCTCCTCTCTAGCCACTAGCGGTGAGCCGGTCCTGGGCCCGCAGGTGGGCAAGCAGAGCCCGGGATACAGTGGGCGGGGGGAGCGGAGAGGCTGGCACTGTGTGGAAGCATTTGGGCGGCAGCGCTGCTGCTCAAATGCTTCCACCTGATAGGCGAGCCCTGCTGCTTGCCCACAGCAGGGCTGAAGGAAAAAAAAAAAAAAAAAAAAAAAAACTGCAGATAAACAGGTACAACTCACGTAGGAGGTTTTCATCTCTGTATTACCTGAGGCCAGTCACTTCGCTGGGCATATGTAAGGGTTTACAACCACTTGAAATTATTATGCCTTCTCCCTAGGACAAGGCAGCCAACTACTGGAGATACAGACAGACCATACATTGGTACAGCTTCCTGCATCTCCAGGCAGCAAAATGTAGGGGTGCAAACTGACTATGCCAGCATGGATCTGCTACTGTGCTTAGCATGGGTGATACAGAAAGAAAAAGAGGGGGGGGGGACTGGCAGATCACCAGGTATTTCATAGGAAAACTGCCAATAGCTGACATATAAAAGCAACCTTTACAACATAATGTATATGTTCAAGATCAATTCTATCGATCAATTCAATTACTTCCATAGTCTGGTAAGAAGATTATATCAACCAAAATAGAAACGAATATAAATCACACTGAACTGCATAAAGTATAAACATCATTACTTTACCTTGCTGCAATAGATTGGATAACGGAATTTCTTAGTGAGACCCCCATAGTGATCAGAGTGAAAATGGGTGAGGAAGTAAGCAGAGCATCCTTCTATTGCTCCATACTGGAACGCATCAACCGCAAAACCTGTGCCTAAAACATGAAAAGATGGGCTAGTTTCACAGTTTAAAAAGATTGTGTACAAGGGTAGCTAGCAATGAGCTAGAAGAGTAATGATCTACTAAGCTCATCAACAGGAAAAAAAGTACTTCAGGTATCAGTATATAAAGTGGGCCTGTCAGCTGGAAATAAAAGCAAACAATGCAGTCAGAACGGCAGGCACGGTCTACTGCCTGAAAGTACTTTCATATTCTGAATGCCCACAGTTTTTCATCGAACCAAACATCATTCGGGGTTTAATGTAACCATATATTTAGCCATTTATCCAGGGACTTTCACTGTAAGGAATTATAAAGCCACTTAGGAACTCCACAGGGTGCCGGTCACATTGTATTGTATTTTTTGAAGCTCTGGCAATCTACGCTCAAAAAGCTTTCATTTAGACTGAAAGATCCAATTTGCCAGAACATTTCCACCTGGATCCATAATGCAACATTACGTGTAAAATGGACTGAAGAATAGATTGCCAACTGCCTCCTTATCCCCCCACTTTCAAAGACCAAGTTTTCTATTCTGAACTATAATGTCCTCTTGTTCGTGGTGTACATTTCTATCTTGTACAAGGAACAGATTGTATTATGACTACATGTTTAAAAATGTAATAAATACTGCTTGAAAAAAAAAAAAAAAAAAAAAAAATTTATCTATATTGCCAAGCTGAAATTCAAAACCTTGGTAAGACGATACTGCAATACATGTGTGCCCACTGCTGGTCTGGACAATCTCAAGATGCTATTGACAAAATAAAAAAAGCCACATTCACTTGGCACATTTAAAGAATAAGTTCACTTTTGGGTACATGTTACGTTCCACCCATTTTTAAAGTGGAACATGCAGCAGCCGCTGCCCGATCCCCTCCCTCTCTGTGACAGCAGAACAGGGAGAAGTTCCCCTTACTAGCTGTCAGTTTTCAAAAACTCAGCCCACATGGCCGTATCATTCATTCACATTGTGTGAATGAATGAACTACAAGTCCCAGCCTTTGCAGCTGTCAACTTATAGTTCTTTGAGTCTTCCTGTTAGACTGTATCTGCTTACCGTTACATGATTATATATATATTTTTTTTAAAGTGAAAATGTCCTTTAAAAAAGGTGAGCAAGACCAGTGCTTGAATGAGTCCATCTTGCTGCATCTCTGATGATGGCGTTTACAGCATGTTATCTATGGTATATAAAATGTACATATGCAATATACACACACATACTATACCATACTATCACACATCACATACACTATACCATACAACCACACATCACATACTATACCATACAATCACACATCACATACTACAAAAAAATCACATACCACATACATACATACCAACACAATACTACAACACAATACTACCACACATCACATACTAAACCCCATACTACCACCAACAAAAACATACTATCCCCACATCACAACTACACACCACTATACATACCATACACCACACAAACCTACACCCATACTACCACACATCACATACTAAAAACCATACAACCACACATCATCACATACTACCACACATCACATACTAACCCCCAAAACATACCACAACAACCACCATAAAACCACACCCACATACTATACCATACACACCACACATCACATACTATACCAACAACCACAAACTATACCATATAACACATCACATACTACAACACACACATACTATATATACCATACTACCACACATCACATACACACACACACATCACATACTATACCATACACCACAACACACACCACCCAAAACATACCACTACATCACACACACACTATACCATACAACCACACACATCTAAATACCATACCACAACTATACTATACCATACAACCACACATCACACACCACTATACATACACAATCCACACTATATACATACTAACCACACATCACATACTATAAAACCACACATACATACCACTATACATCACAACCACACATTACACTATACACATACAACACACACCACACACTACTATACTTAAAACCACACATCACATACTATACCATATACCACACATCACACACATACTACCAACATCACACAATATACCACCATACTACTACCACACACACTATCACACACTATCACACCATATCACATACTACCACATCACACACACTATCACACATCAAAGAAAAGGGAGTAAGAAATAGAAACAGCTAAACAGTCATTTTGATTTCAGCACATACGTTCACTGCTTTGGATTACACAGAAAGCACATTTTCCATTTCATTTTTCAGTCTCAGTATAAAGAATCACCTGGAATTTTCTTGTAGAAAGGACATTGTTTCCTCCCTTTGTTCTCCTCTGTGTTCTGTCTGAATCTCTTCCTTTCCCTCCTCTGGGTGCCGGATGGTGCGGTTGCTGTAACCCCATTAGTATTATTAGTCAGAGAATCTGCATCACTGAGCGAGCCGACAGCCTTCCTCTTCCTCTCTCTTCTCTGGGTCCCGGATGGTGCGGTTGCTGGAATCCCTCCATTGCAATCAGTGAGAGAATGGGCATCCCCCAGCAATCCTACAGAATTTCTCCTCCTCGGCCATTTCTCCTCAATCTGGGAAGCGCCGGCATTTAAGCTCTGGGTTTTTAAAGGAACTTTCACTTCGCTTTTGGTTTCAGGCCAAAGAAGACTCCAATATCCATTTGTTTCATCCCCTTGGATGGCACAGCCCTGCTCAGAGGCATAGTTGAAGCAGGTTGTGTTAGGCTTTCCCTTGTGTGTGTCCTGTTGGTGGTAAACGGTTGTGTGGACCTCTGAGAACTCGTATAAAACGCCTTCTGTACTATCACTGCCTCTCCAGAGTCTCTCAGTGGAGCCGCTTCTCTATCACCATCAGCAGAACACACAAGTAACTCACCAGCCTCATCCCGACTCCAACATTCCGCTTCTTGCTGGGTTGTGGCCCATTCACTAACCTCAGAGCCAGGTGTGCTGCATTCAGACCATTTATCCCCGTCAATGCTGCAATCAGCGACACATGTGACTCCATTCCTCTGAGCACATTGGCTGTTTATTGCACTTGTATCACTGTGGATTCCATTGCACTTAGTGGGAGATTTTATTCCGCTTTTAGTTATAAAGATCTCCGCAGCAGAGATCTCTTCTATATTCTCTACAGGGTCTGCCGGTAATTTGCTAGAAAAGAGTCTCTTTACTGGGCCAGCCGGAAGGTCTTCATCATCACTGAACAGCTCCTGATCGCTGACCAGCGGGGAGTAGGAGATGGCACAGTCGTTCATAGCCTCGTCTTTCTGCGACAAGCCCAGAGAAGTAGCAGCATTGACAAAACTTGCGCACTTCTGGCTGGGGTCTTCCTGGGATAAGTCTAGAGAGTTCTGAGACAATTTGGTTGGTGAGGAAAGCCAGGCATCGAGCGAAGTCTGCTTTACTGACCCCTGAGAGCTGGCCGGAGACTGCGACCGGGATGATTTCACCTGCGTTGTCTTCTTAGTGAATGCACCTTGGGAGTGTGAGAATTTTGTGTCATTCCTTCCATTAGGGATACATGATTTGGCAGCGTCAGGAGAAGGCAGATCAGGGGTGCAGACTGGAGGAAACGGGGAGAGCTCAGCAGCTCTGCTCTGGGCCAGCAGGAAATGAGAGTATCGTTTGTAGTGATAGGCAATGGTGGATGAGCAGGTAAGGCCGTCGGGGCATTCTGCAGGAAAAAAAAGAAAAGAAATCTGTAATGAACTATGCAAAGTCGCCTGACCATGAACCACACCCCACACGCACGCGCACACACACACCTACAAAAAGAGCTCACAGACAAGATCTACACCGAGGATGGCATTTGAAAAGTTAAAGTGTATATCCAGCCAAAACATTTAGCCTGTTGCGATTTTGAATAGAGTGGAGAAGGTCTGTCAGGTTTTTCTGCTATCTGGGGCTCCACAAGGCCAAGTCTTCACTTGCTGTTGGGGGTGGTAAAAGCAGGTAGTTAAGCCATGTTTTTACTGCCCCTTAACTGATTCCCGTCCGCCCTATACCCAAAACTACTGCTACAGGGAGGCAGGGCTGCACAAAATCATATATATATATATATATATATATATATATAACAGTGGCTTAGTGGTTAGCATGTCTGCCTTGCAGTAAATGGGTCATGGGTTTGATTCCCAACCTTGGCGCCTCCCGCATGGAGTTTGCATGTTCTCCCTGTGCTTGCGTGGGTTTCCTCTGGGTACTCCGGTTTCCTCCCACACTCCAAAGACATGCTGGTAGGTTAATTGGATCCTGTCTAAATTGGCCCTAATATATGTATGTATGAATGGGAGATAGGGATCTTAGATTGTACACCCTTGAGTGTTAGGGACTGATGTGAATGTACAATATATATATGTGTTAAGCGCTGCGTAAATTGACAGCTCTATATAAGTACCTGAAATAAATAATAATAAATAAGTTGTTAGCACTTCCGCCTGGCAGTACTCTGGTCGTTGGTTCGAATCCCAACCACGGCACCACCTGCCTGGAATTTGCATGTTCTCCCTGTGCCTGCGTGGGTTTCCTCCGGGTACTCCGGTTTCCTCTCACACTCCAAAGACATGCTGGTAGGTTAATTGGCTCCTGTCTAAATTGTCCCCTAGTATATGGATGTGAGTTAGGGACCTTAGATTGTACGCCCCTTGAGGGTTAGGGACTGATGTGAATGTACAATATATATGTAAAGTGCTGTGTAAATTGATGGCGCTTTATAAGTACCTGAAATAAATAAAAAATATATATACGTGATTTGCATTACCAGGTAGGGGGCACGTGTGCCATTCTACCCGTGCTGCCATTGGCAGCTACAGCCATCATTCACCGGGTCCCAGCCGGAGATCGCCGAGGAACACTGACAGGGGAGAGGTCTGTATGTAAACAACACAGATCTCTCCCCTGTCAGCACCAGCATGCTGTTTTGTATTGCTTTGCATAGCAGAGCAATACAAAGCAGCATGCTTACACAGTAAAACATACAGCACACGGTTAACCCTTTGGTTGCCCCAGATGTTAACCCCTTCCTGCCCAGTGCCGTTAGTACAGTGTCAGTCCTTTTTATTAGCACTGATTACTGTATTAGTGTCATTGGGATGTCAGTGGCAGTAAGTCAGTTCCTCCCCAGTGTCAGAATGCCCGCCGCAGTCCCGCAATAAGTTGCTGATCGCCGCCATTACTAATATTAAAAAAAAATAATTAAAAAAAAAAAAGAAATCCAGTGTATATACCACCATTTGTAGACACTGTAACTTTCATGTAAACCAATTAATTTACACGTATTTGTTTTTTGGGGTTTTTTTTTTTAGCAAAAGACATGTAGAATACATTTTGGCCTAAATTTATGATCAAATTTGATTTTTTTCACTGGACATGTTTCACAACAAAAAGTCAAAAATATTGTTTTTTTCCTCAAAATTGTCGGTCTTTTTTTGTTTATAGCGCAAAAAAATAAAAAAACCGCACAAAAACCGATCAAATACCACCGAAAGAAAGCTCCATTTGTGGAAAAAAAGGACATAAATTTCATTTGGGTGCAGTGTTGCATGACTGCGCAATTGCCATTTAAAGTAACGCACCGCCATATTGCAAAAAATGGCCTGGTCAGGAAGGGGGGTAAATCCTCTGGAGGGCAAGGGGTTAAAGTATATGTGAACCCTCGCCTTGTAAAACAACCCATTCCATTTAAAACAGAAATAAAAGGTAAAACATTTGTTTACAAACATGAAAACAGTATTAACACCTTTTTCCCTGCTTTTATAAATGCTCTCATATCCTCTGATCTCAGCTACCTAAGGAGCCTAAAGAGATGGGGGAGGAAAAAACAACAGCACACTGATCTTCCCAGTAAATGGCTATGGGTGGGGTCGTGTCAGGACAAGTCTGATCATTGGAGGAGAGCAGGCTGAGTTCCCAGCACAGCCAGAGAACTGACTGCGCTGTGCTCCCATGCCTAGTGTGGTCAGTTTTTAATAGGAACGCAGAGGGACTGGCAGGAACACCAGGGATTTTACACAAAGGAAGCAAAACAAAGAGAACAGAATACTTTTTTCATACAAATACATAGTACAGCAGGCACATATCAGGAATAGGAAATGTTGGGTTTACATATTCTGGAAGCTGTATAGGCAGCCATATGAGGCAGTATGGCCTTTGCGTTTCGTCTTGGAAAGAATTATACCCTCAGTCACTTTGGCATGCAATACATATGGTTGTGACGCTGGATTTGAGAGGTAAGAACAAGTGATGACATAACGACTCCCAACCATCTGTTAAACACCCTCTGCAAAGTGATCTACCACAGATCGCTCTTCAGAGGACAGAACTAATGTAAATAGAGAGAGATTTCTCCTACTGACATGATGACAAAAGTCTCATCAGAAAGGAAGAGAGGGAAAATCTCCAATAACAAAAGTAAAAAATGCATTTTTTTGAGGGCAGTGGAAGGCTAGAGCCCTTGTCGGATTTTATTTCAGTCTGTGTTCTTGTTACAGATTTCTCCTCATACCCGGCCTGGTAACACTACGGGGATCATTTACTAAAACTGGAGATTGTACAATCTGGTGTAGCTCTGCAGGAAAACCAATCAACTTCCAGGATTTTTCGGTCAAAGCTTAACTGAACAAGCTGAAGTTATGCAGGCCATACGTGGGTCGAATTCCGAACGATTTTTCGTTCAAAAATCGAAAACTTTGTTCGCTCGGTAATCCGATGGTGCAGTCAATGATTTCGAAAATCGGCCGATCAAGTCATAAAGTTCACCCCATATAACAGGTGAAACTTCTGTTGCTTCCAGGTCACGGCTCATTTGCATATTCTTTTCGGAAAAATGATCGTACGATTTGACCATCATTGAGTCGAAAATCATTCGTTTTCACGAATTTTCCAACACACACATTTTCAAATATATGTGTACATTGCACAACCTACTCCAAGGCTCCTCTGTATACTGCGCCCTACGTTTGCAGTTTTCACAATCTCTAGGTTGGAGCATATATAGCAGGGGATAAATTAAGTCGCGGGGGCTGTTAGGGTACTGGTTGCTCAGGAGCCAGAGTTGGGGACTGTCATGGAACTAGGGGGCCCAAGGTCCAGGCGTGGGCAGCTCAGGGTCCTGATGTGGAGGTGTCAGGTGTCTGGGGGGCTAAGGAGACAGGGGTAGAGACAGCCATGGGATTGTGGGGCTCAGGGGTGAGGGGTGTCAGAGGACTGGAGGGCTCAAGAGCCAGCTGTGGGGACTGTCATGGAACTAGGGGGCCCAAGGTCCAGGCGTGGGCAGCTCAGGGTCCTGATGTGGAGGTGGCAGGTGTCTGGGGGGCTAAGGAGACAGGGGTAGGGACAGCTATGGGATTGTGGGGGTGAGGGGTGTCAGGGGACTGGAGGGCTCAAGAGCCAGCTGTGGGGACTGTCATGGAACTAGGGGGCCCAAGGTCCAGACGTGGGCAGCTCAGGGTCTGATGTGGAGGTGTCAGGTGTCTGGGGGGCTAAGGAGACATGGGTAGGGACAGCCATGGGATTGTGGGGCTCAGGGGTGAGGGGTGTCAGGGGACTGGAGGGCTCAAGAGCCAGCTGTGGGGACTGTCATGGAACTAGGGGGCCCAAGGTCCAGACGTGGGCAGCTCAGGGTCCTGATGTGGAGGTGTCTGGGGGGCTAAGGAGACAGGGGTAGGGACAGCCATGGGATTGTGGGGCTCAGGGGTGTCAGGGGACTGGAGGGCTCAAGAGTCAGCTGTGGGGACTGTCATGAAACTAGGGGGCCCAAGGTCCAGGCGTGGGGCTATCAGGGGCAGCTGTGGGGACTACCATGGCACTAGGATTGGCGTGTCTCAGGAGCCAGGGGTGGTGGATATCAGGAGACTGGGAGGCTCAGGAGCAAGGGGTAGGGACAGTCATGGGACTGAAAGGGGAGGAACTATGAAAATCGATCAGTGCCATTGACCCACTAACAGAGCGCAAATCAGCCAATTATTCTTAGGTCCCATTTTCGAGCGAAAAATTGGTCGAATTTGAACCCATGTATGACCGGCATTAGAAGCTACCATGCACAGCTGCACCAGAATCTACCCAGTTTTAGTAAATCAATCCCTATGGCAGGAAGCGATCCTTCACATGGAGTGCGCTCTATCAGACGGGAGCATTCCACCTCTGCTTCCTTTTCTATACATTAATAGCAGCTATCAAACTGCACACAGGCAATACGAACAGATCTTCATTTTGATCCGAGCTGGATATAAGGAAACCCCCTCCCCCTCTCAGAATGCTAAAATGCAATGTAGGTGTTGAAGCCTCTGCACTACATTAACAAATTGGGAGGGGGGGGGGGGGGTCTTTATTTTGACCTGAGGCAGAGATGGTATTTACATACCACATTCTTCTCAGGTTCAAATGACAGTTCTACCAAATGTGTACAGACCCCAGTCCTCGTATAGGAATGCTGGTCTATACAACATGGTCTACAGACAACTCACTTATTAGGCATTACACTGTATGTATCCATTTGCGCTCAGCTGAGTTACGTACCTGTCTGTGCGCACGATGGGGTGTCCAAACATTCCATTACATGCCACCGAGGTGTCTGCACCAGCAAAACAGAGAATGGCATCTGACAGCTGGGACAATACCCGCTGTGCTTTTCTTTCGGCGTTGAAGGACTCGCTTTCTTACTTTCTTTCTTTAAAGTCCTTTTTGGCGAAGACAAGTCCTCCCCGCCGGTACCGGATGCTGAACTACTCCGTTCCTTCACTGGGCTGATAATGATGCCATTCTTGCTGGGTGATTTATTGTTCTCGGCACCTGTAGTGTTCCTTGTCACCCCGGTTTTCTTAGCAGTGCTTCTCTTCACTTTTTGTGTTTTTTCATGGGAACTTGTTTTCTGGACATGCCTGTCTGCTGTTCTTTTTTTCCTGATGGATTTGTATCTCCAAATATCCTCTTCACTTTCTGACATTTTTGAAAACTGGAAGGAGAAAAAAAAAGAATAAACACACGTTTTGAGACTTTTAGATTGACTTGGGATAGTTGTCTTTTTTGTTATTTACATACAGCACTTTAAGTGCCCTGAGACCCCCAAGTCTCCGGACAGCCCCTACGGCGAGCCCCTGAGACCCCATAGCCTGGGTCAGTTAGTCCCCTCTGTTCCCTGACAGTCTCTGTCCTCAAATAACCCTACTTCTGGCTGCTGAGTCTCCCCTGTTCCCTAACAGTCCCCAGTCCTGGCCTTGACAGTGCCTGCCTCTGAGTGCCCCTAGTCCTTCACAACTCCACCTCTAGTCTCATGACAGTTCCCACACTTGGCCCCTGAACCCCTAGTTCCCTAACAGCCCTTGACCCACTGACATTCACCACCTCTGGCTCCTGAGACATCCCACCCCTAGTGCCATGTTAGTCCCCACCGCTGCCCCTTGATAGCCCCACGCCTGGACCTTGAGCCCCCAGTTCCATGACAGTTCACACAGCTGGCCCTTAAACCCTCCAGTCCCCTGACTCCTCTCACCCCTTACTCCTGAGCCCCACAGTCCTATGACTGTCCCTACCCCTGGCTCCTGAGCCTCCCAGTCCCCTGACATCCACCACCCCTGGATCCTGAGATATCCCACCCCTAGTGCCATGGTAGTCCGCACATCTGCCCCTTGATAGCCCCACGCCTGGACCTGGAGCCCCCCAGTTCCATGACCGTTCCCACAGTTGGCCCTTAAACCCTCCAGCCCCCTGACTCCCCTCACCCCTTGCTCCTGAGTCCCACAATCCCATGACTGTCCCTACCCCTGGCTACTGAGCCTCCCAGTCCCAACATCCACCACCCCTGGCTCCTGAGACATACCACTCCTAGTGCCATGGTAGTCCCCACAGCTGCCCCTAAGCCCCCTGATAACCCCATGCCTGGACCTTGGGCCCCCTAGTTCCATGACAGTCCCCACAGCTGGCTCTTGAGCCCTCCAGTCCCCTGACACCCCTCACCCCCACAATCCCATGGCAGTCTCTACCCCTTTCTCCTTAGCCCCCCAGACCCCTGACACCCCCACATCAGGACCCTGAACTCCCCAGTCCCTTGACAGTCCCCATCTCTGGCTCCTGAGCAACCAGCTCCCTAACAGCCCCCACGACTTAATTTATCCCCTGCTATATAAGCTCCAACCTAGAGATTGTGAAAACTGCAAACGTAGGGAGCAGTATACAGAGGGGCCTTGGAGTAGGTTCTGCAACTTACACATATATTTGAAAATGTGTGCAAGTGAACCCTCTGTTTTAGTGAGAATTGTTAGACCGGGTCAATTTGTTCTTTGCAGGCTAGCTGGTAAGTGTGATGGGACGTCTGCTTGTGATCCCACCCCTAGTGCCATGGTAGTCCCTGCACATGGCCCCTTGACAGCCCCAACACCTGGTCCTTGAGCCCTCCAGTCTCCCGACAGTCCCTACATATGAGGCACCCAGACTCATGACACCCCCCCCCCCCTTCAAATTCCTATGACAGTCCCCACCCCTGAGCTCCATGACACCCAAAGTCCTATGACAGTCCCCACCTCTGGCTCCTGAGCCCCACTGTCCCATGGTAGTCCCCATATCTGGCCCTTAAGCCCCCTGGCACCCCCTCACCCCAGGCTCCTGAACCCTCCAGTCCCCACCCTTGGACCTTGAGCCACTCAGTCCCCTGACACCCCCATTCCTGGCTTCCAAGCTCACCAGTCTCATGGTGGTTCCCACACTTGGGACTGAAATGGAATTGGAGGGCTCAGGAACCTGGGGAGAGGGGAGTGTCAGGGACTGGGGGGTTCAAGAGCCAGGTGTGGGGACTGTTAGGGGACTGGGGGCTCAGGAGCCAGAGGTGGGGACTGTTGTCATGGGACTGGGGGTGTCAGGGGACTGGGGGCTCAGATTACGGGGGGGGGTTCAGGGGACGGGGGTGTCAGGAGACTGGGGGGCTCAGAAGCCAGGGGGGTGTCAGCGGACTGGGGAGCTCAGAAGCCAGAAAGGGGGGTGTCAGGACTGGGGTGCTCAGAGGCCAGAAGGGGGATGTCAGGAGACTGGGGGGCTCAGAGGCCGGGGGGGTGTCAGGGGACTGATGAGCTCTGAAGCTAGAAAGGGGGGTATCAAAGGACTGGGGGGGGCTCAGAAGCCAGAGGGGGGGTGTCACAGGCCAGAAGGGAGGTGTTGGGACTGGGGTGTTCAGAGGCCGGGTGGGGGGGGGGGGGGTCAGGGGACTGGGGGGCTCACAGGCTAGAAGGGGGGTGTCAGGAGACTGGGGGGCTCAGAGGCCTGAGTGAGGGTGTCAGTTAACTGGGGAACTCAGAGGCCAGAGGGAGGGGGGGGGGTCAGGGGATTGGGGTACTTAAGAGCCAGGTATGGGGACTGTCATGGGATCAGAGGCTCAGGGCCACACAGCTAGCCCGAGTCCCCTTTCCTATGACAATCCCCATACCTGGCTCTTAAGCCCTTCTGTCCCGACATTCCCCACCTCTAGCACCTGAGCCCCTAACAGCCCCCACCCCTGGCCCTTGGACAGCCCCCACCCCTGGTCCCTAAACCCCCTGGTCCTACAACAGTCCCCACCTCTGGCTCCTGAACCCCACCCTGTCCCTGAGCCCAGTAGTCCCATAACCATCCCCGGCCCCTTAGTCCCACTCCCCATCCCTGAGCTCCCTCCCGGGATTTCCTCCCTCCTGTCACCTGTCAGCTCATTCTGGGCGCCCAATCCCAGCACTCTGCACATTCCGGGCCGCACTTTCCTCTCTCCGCCCAACACAGGACCCGATATCACACTGAAGATCCCCGGAACCCCACACCGGGCAGGGAAGACCGGGGGGGGGGTATTGTAGTTTGCAAAAAAAAAGAAAAAAAAGAAAACCTTTTCCATCATTTTTTTTTTCTTCAACGAGAAAATGGTGAGGAATCTGCTACGAGGAATAAAAGGTGTGTAATATGAGGTAAATCCGGGGCAGAAGGCAGTTGGCACTTTCTGCTCGGTACGTAATGTGGTGACTTTCTTGTCTGAATAAACATCTGATCGCTCGAAGTTGTTCAGCATAAACACACTTTGCTTCCTGTAGCGAATAAGTCTTTAAGAGATTCGGTTACGGTTTCCGGTGGTCGCGAAAGTGCAGCCGGGAATGTGAGGAGTACAGAGCCGGCCTGTCAGTCTGGGTGGAGAAAGATGGCGGCGTACAGTTTGCAGAGGGTGCTGGAGATACAGAGCCCGCTGGAGGGCGCCCTGCTGGAGGCGGAGGGGAGAGGGAAAGGCTGAATGGCCGGGCTGAGGGCCTGCAGTATCTGGAGCAGGTGAATGGCCGGGCTGAGGAGCTGACAGTTCCTGACTTCTCTCCAGGTACCCAGGACCCCCACATACAGGGTTTCTACAGTAAAGGGGGCTATACAGCACATGGACCAGTCACGCAGGACCTACACGGCCCATGGACCACTCACGCAGCGCCTGTACATGGGCCCATGGACCACTCACGCAGCCGCCTGTAGCGGCCCGGCCCATGGACTCCACTCACGCACAGGCCTGGACCACTGGTACCCATGGACCACTCACGCAGCAGCGCCTGTACGGGCCATGGACCACTCACGCAGCGCCTGTACGGCCCATGGACCAGACACGCAGCGCCTGTACGGCCCATGGACCATGGACCACTCACGCAGCACCTGTACGGCCCATGGACCAATCACGCAGCGCCTGTACGGCCCATGGACCAGACACGCAGCACCTGTACGGCCCATGGAGCAGACACGCAGCGCCTGTACGGCCCATGGACCAGACACGCAGCACCTGTACGGCCCATGGAGCAGACACGCAGCGCCTGTACGGCCCATGGAGCAGACACGCAGCGCCTGTACGGCCCATGGAGCAGACACGCAGCACCTGTACGGCCCATGGAGCAGACACGCAGCACCTGTACGGCCCATGGAGCAGACACGCAGCACCTGTACGGCCCATGGAGCAGACACGCAGCACCTGTACGGCCCATGGAGCAGACACGCAGCACCTGTACGGCCCATGGAGCAGACACGCAGCACCTGTACGGCCCATGGACCAGACACGCAGGGCCTGTACGGCCCATGGACCAGACACGCAGCGCCTATACGGCCCATGGACCAGACACGCAGCACCTGTACGGCCCATGGACCACTCACTCAGCGCCTGTACGGCCCATGGACCAGACACGCACCACCTGTACGGTCCATGGACCACTCACTCAGCGCCTGTACGGCCCATGGACCAGACACGCACCACCTGTACGGCCCATGGACCACTCACGCAGCGCCTGTACGGCCCATGGACCACTCACGCAGCGCCTGTACGGCCCATGGACCACTCACGCAGCGCCTGTACGGCCCATGGACCAGACACGCAGCGCCTGTACGGCCCATGGACCACTCACGCAGCGCCTGTACGGCCCATGGACCACTCACGCAGCGCCTGTACGGCCCATGGACCAGACACGCAGCGCCTGTATACGGCCCATGGACCAATCACGCAGCGCCTGTACGGCCCATGGACCAGTCACGCAGCGCCTGTAAGGCCCATGGACCAGACACGCAGCAACTGTACGGCCCATGGACCAGTCACGCAGCGCCTGTAAGGCCCATGGACCAGTCACGCAGCGCCTGTAAGGCCCATGGACCAGTCACGCAGCGCCTGTAAGGCCCAGGCCCATGGACCAGACACGCAGCGCCTGTAAGGCCCATGGACCAGACACGCAGCGCCTGTAAGGCCCATGGACCAGACACGCAGCGCCTGTAAGGCCCATGGACCAGACACGCAGCGCCTGTAAGGCCCATGGACCAGACACGCAGCGCCTGTAAGGCCCATGGACCAGACACGCAGAGCCTGTAAGGCCCATGGACCAGACACGCAGTGCCTGTAAGGCCCATGGACCAGACACGCAGCGCCTGTACGGCCCATGGACCACTCACGCAGGGCCTGAAAAACCTGTGAAACGGGTCCCATTGCAGAGGCCCTTTATGGTACAAGGTGCACATCAGAGTAGCCCTATACACAGGGGGCCCTACATAGAACAGGGGGGTCCATCATGGTAGCCCTGTACAGTACAGGAGGCCATCACGCTGGACAGCCCACCAAGGTGTCCCTATGCCATATGGGGCCTGGGTGGCTGACCCCTCTATATTACAGTGGTCCCATCATTGAGGCCCTTTATGATATAGGGGGCCCATCACTGAACCATTATATGAAAAGGGGCCCCATTGCAGAGGCCCTATACAGAACAGGGGCACCCATCATGGAGGCCCTGTATAGTACAGAGGGGCCCATCATGGAAGAGCTATACAGAGTGGGGGGGTGTCTGTCATGAAAGCTCTATACAAGGGCCCATCAAAACAGTATAAAGTGCAGGAGACCCTCCCTGGTGGCTCTATTTGGTACAGGGGTAATATCCTGGTGGCCATACACAGTACTGGGGTCCCATCCTGACAGCCCTATATGGTACAGGGGTCTCATCTTGGCTCGCCCTATACCATACAGGGAGCCCCAACATGCAGTCCTATATGGTACAGGGGTCTCATCCTGGCCAGCCCAATACCATACAGGGAGCCCCATCATGCAGCCTTATATGATACAACCATTTATTGTCAAGTTGAAGGCAAACTGCCTTTTGCAAACAAAATAAATAAAATAGTATAATAACCGCATCCATAGTTAGAGAAAAAAAAATTCATTTATTATTTTTTTGCAGATGAGCCTGCAAAACATTGCAACTGGGATCACCAGATCGGGAGTGCAATGCACAGGCTCCTGCAGACTCTTCTTCTAGCTCCCTTTACAAAGTAAGGTTGACCATACACGATACAATTTTCTTACAATTTCCTGTCCAATTTCTGCCCAATTTCCTTTAGATTTACCTTCAACTATGTAGTGCAAGGGCCTGCCTAATTGGATACAATTGAAAGTGTTGTTTAGGTTTGACCTCATATTATATGTTTTTTTGGTAAATCTAAAGCAAATTTCTCAAGAAAATTGTATAGTGTATGGCCAGCCTAAGGTATGGACTTTCAGTTACTGAGCTGGAGAAAGTGTCAGTGGACTACAAATGTGGAAAGGACCACCGAACCGGGTTGGGGAGGAACACCGGACTGGGTTGGGGCGTTCTGCTCACAACCATGTTACATCCTAATTCTAGATGTAACATAGTCTAAATGGTGGAGTTTGCCTCTGCACTTCTAAAGTCCTCATTTATTTAGAGGGTCAGTACACCCATGAATTCAAGAGGAACTAAACCCATTGATGTAACCGTTTATAAAAACGGTTACATGTTGCGGCATGCTAACTGTCACACTTGCTTGTGCTTTCAACCAAATTGTCAAAACATCCAATGGTTGGGGTCCTAACTGATCACACGTGCAGCATTATGGCAGTTGCAGATCAACCAGAAGCTAAGACAGCAGCTTCCTTGGCTGAAAAGGAAGAACAACTGTAACAAGAAGTCATCTACTCCTTACATACAATGATTCATTATTTGTTATTATTGTAGCCAACTGTACTTTATGATGTTTTTTTTAGCACAGAAAAATATCAGCTTCTTGTTTTTTTATTTATTTTGCATTTATATTTTCTTTTGCTTTCTCAGGTTTGGAATGGCTGAATACAAAAGGGGCCATCTCTCTACACAAAGATCTATGCGGGAAAATTGTGATTTTAGATTTCTTTACATATTGCTGTATCAACTGTATGCACATCCTCCCTGACCTGCATGAGCTGGAGCACCGGTACACCGATACAGGTACCATATATGCTTCTCTTCTGTAAAGAGGAAATTACTTCTGAAATTACATTGACACATTAGAGCTTATGTGAGATTTTAGGGAATTCTGTGTACTTAACCACTTCCCTTCCGCTGTATTTTAAAAATGTGTAGGAGAGGTGGATGTCTACTGCTGGAGGGGCCTCTTTAAACAGCACCTCAGAAAGAGCCCTCAGGCTGTCAGTGCATTTGTTAATGGCTGTGAACTGAGCTATTATCAGACAGCTCAGGTCACAGACACAGCAGGGTTTATTTACTAAAGCTGGGTCACTCACAATCTCCTGCACGTCTGCATAGAAACCAATCAGCTTACAGATTTTTTTTGCTAATTCTTAATTGAACAAGCTGAGGTTAGAAGCTGATTGGCTACCATGCACAGGTGCACCAGATTCTGAGTGAACCAGCTTTTCACCCCAGTCACATCAAACCCAAATTTGAAATCGTGCAACTTACAGTGAAGTCGCACGATATCAAAGTCAGGTGAACTACTGATTTCAGGTGAGATTTGCAAGACCTCTAACACAGATGTTTATGTAAATCGCACCAAAAGTAGTGCATGTACTACTTTGGAAATCGGTACGGCTCCGACCAAGTCAGAACTGCACCAATATGATCACTGTAATTGCGGACAATAGGGTGCGACTTAGCATGCAATTTGCAAATTGCACGGCATGCAGTTGGCATCCAGTGTGACCAGGGTGTTAGGGCCGGTTCACACTACAGAAATGCAGTCCAGATGCGTTCCAGGTGCATTTCTGGTGCGTTTTTAACACGTTTCAGTGCGTTTTTTATGCATTCCAGTTAATTTTTTCCCCTCTCTTTTTCTTCAATTTAAAAAAAAAAAAATTAGATCACCTTGAGGTGTCTGCTTTCCAAAACTAGGTCATTTGTGAGTGTTCCCAGTGTCCTGGCATTTTTATTTGTTTTATAGTTTAATTAGGGTAACAGGTTTTTTTTTTTTTTTTTTTTTTTTTTAAATGTTCATCTTTTTTCTTTTATATAGTAAAAAAAATAAACACACAAGTGGGTATTAAAGCAGAGCATCACCAAAAGGGAAGGTTCTGCTATAAGTCCGCCTCCCCCACTCTGCCACATTTGGCAGGTCCTTTTGTTTTGGGGAGGGGGGGGAGTAGGTACCTAGTTTTGACAAGTACCCGTTTATGCTCGGATCGCCTAGGCGGAAGTTCTCCTCTCCCCCTCCTTCCCCACAGTTCTTGGACGCATCATAGGTCGCAGAAGACTGCGGGACCATTCACAAAGTGCAGCATTGCTCGTGTATGCGCAGTGGGCAGCTGTCTGTGAAGCCACGAGCAGCAAAGCCAGCTGCCCAAAGTTAAGATCCTGGTGTTGGGAACCCAAAGGCTAGTGAAGTACTATCCTGGGTGAGGATGGCGCTGGATCCCTGGACAGGTAAGTATCCTGTTACTAAAAGTCAGCAGCTACAGGATTTGTAGCTGTTGACTTTTAATTTTTACTTTTTTTTTTTTTACAAAGTGGAGAACCTCTTTAAATACCACCAAATGAAAGCTTTATCTCAAAAACATGAGATAAAATTTATTTGGGTACACAATGGCATGACAGAGCAATTGCCAGTCAAATTATATCAGCACTGAAAAATGGACTGGTTCAGCTACTTATAGCACTCCTGTTCTTTTGGAAGGCTGTTGAAGGCTTCTCCATTTCCACTTGCTGTGATTTTTTTTTTTTTTTAATCCAAACTTTTCTTTTTATTAAAAAATTAAGGGAAATACAGGAGCAAAGAGCAGGGCAGTAAACAATTATACTAATGGGTACAAGAAAAATGTACATTGTTTATATACAGCATATACAATAGGATTACATATTTATAGCCCTTTGTTGCAGAGTTTTAAGATCACATTAGTAAAAATTTTACAGAGTATGTAGAGGTTGACTAGAGGAAACAAAAGTCAGAGAAGGAAAAGAAAGAAAAGAAGAGCAGAACACACAACAGGAACAATAATATCAGTTTCAGGTGGGCCACCAAGTTTCAATTCAACAATCAACTAGCCGCAGTGTATCAGATTTGTAAAGGTCTGTTCATTATCAATCTTGGAGGTGCCAAGCTGGGCGTATCTAACCAGTTCTGCTAGATTAGCTCAAATTTACGTGGGGCATTACGGTGATGATGGGTAATTTGTTCTCATAAAAGGAGAGAATTAACATGCTCCACCCAACATTTCTTAGAAGGTATTATACTACACAGCCAATATCTAGCTATTAGTTTTCTTGCTAAATACAAAAGACGAGTAATCATGATGTAGATACCTGGAGAGTACAGCTCAGGGTCCAGCTCTCCCAGTAGACACACTAATGGATCCGAAGGGACAGGAGTCACTTGCTGTGATTTACATCCTTTTGTGTGTTGAAGTGCTACAACTGAGCCATGCTTGTGGTGGTAGGGGACATAAGATGGCATGACCATGGCTGGCATAGCATGGTAAATTTTCTGCTGGCGACACTGGAAGATGTGCAAGTCAGAAGTATTACTTCTGCAATGTAATTTCGTAAATATTTTAGATGTTTGTCTCCTTGGGATGTTACCTTCCGTTCTGTCATTTTCTTCCAGATGGTCTTGCCATTATTGGAGTTCACTCAGCCAAATTTCCCAACGAGAGAGTTCTGGAAAACATTAAGAGCGCCGTTCTTCGATACAACATTGCCCATCCTGTTGTGAATGATGCAGATGCTACCTTGTGGCAGGAACTGGAAGTGTCCTGTTGGCCCACATTGGTCCTGTTGGGTCCTCGTGGGAACATTCTATTCTCTCTAGTTGGGGAAGGAAATAAAGAGAACCTGTTCCTTTTCACCTCTATGGCCTTAAAATTCTACAAAGAGAGGCAAGAGATCAATTCCAATCGGATCCCACTCCAACTCTACCGCAATTCCTTGCCCACCTCTCCATTGCTCTTCCCTGGAAAGGTGGCCATAGACTCATCTGGCGAGAGGCTTGTGATTGCCGATACAGGTCACCATAGAATTTTGGTTGTGTCCAAGGAAGGGAAGGTATTTCACACCATCGGAGGTAAGAATCTAATGGTTTTATATAATGAATCGAGATTATGTTCAGCTTGGCCATGTTGCTTTACAGCTGTTATCTTCCACAGAGATCCGAAACACACTCTTGTTTTATTGCTGGTTTCTCCACCCAGCATGCCAGATTCTCTATGTCCACAGGATCCCCGAAACTGTGTAAAACAAGGACAGCCTCAGCTGCTTAACATAAAAGCATCATCTGAAGCAGCTGAGGGATATTCTTATCTTTCTTGCTCTATATGTGGATTTTAAGATGTTTTAATGCTTAAAAGCTCATCTTTTGGGCAAAGCAGAACCCTCTTCCTCTTACCTCCTTTCATCCTTGCTACAGCTCACTTGAAATAAATACTTTCTTTTATATGGTCTTTCACCAGCACTGCTTCTGGGTTTGACTTGTGATCCAGTGCTGCAGTTTGAGTCCATGCTGTCCACTAACCTCTTCCTGATATCTTTTCTGTGCAGTCTTCTAGATCCTGATAGAATACCCCCCACCACCCCATATCCCACACCCCCACAGGGCAGCTGATAGGAAGGGTCCACCGCATCCAGGCAGTTTATGTGGAAAACCAAAGAGAGACCCTCCTGCAGGGAAGGAGAGAGAATACTTGCAACCTGGCGTGTCACATGACCACAGATCTACCTGAGTATTAGAGTACATTTGAATTTTAGATTAGGTTTTATTCTTTAAAGAGGGACTTTCCCCCTTTCCCCATTGTTCATTTTGCTTTTTACCCCCTTTTTAAATTTTATGCTGGGTTGTCCTCAACATACTTGCATGCCCAGTTATTCTAGAATTGTCCTTTTGTGCCCCGCTGCCACACACCAGGTCCCACACCACTATCTTCCTTATGTCATCGGGAGTTGGTTGTCTTTTCCTGGCTCAGGCAGCCAGCCCCCTGATAACACACCGTCCGGTCCACCCAGGTATCTGACATATATTCCTGGAGATTGCAGGAAAAGAGTATATGTCATTCTTTCCTAGGCAAGAATGGAGGCAGAGGGTTGAGTGTATCTCCAAAAAGGTACCAAAAAAAAAAAAACATATTGGGCTTTTAAAACTTTTGTATAGGAGGCAAGGTTGTAGTTGCACTTCTTAGTGTGAAGGTCTGGTCTAAGTAATTCTGCAATTAAGTGGGATGAAGAGTTCCCCTTCAAACGAAATGCTACAGGAAATTATGTCCTTTCTACATTTTCCTTTTCTTTTTCTTACTTGGCACTGTGTGAGATGTAGTTATTGCTGGAGTAGCTGGAACCACAAAAGACATACAATTGCCATTTATTGGGGATGCAGGTGACTGACTGGGCACACCATGTGAAGTCATATAGGGATCCTGTGGACTATGGAAGCTTTTGATGTGTCAGGATTGCCGCTAATAAATGGCCAGCAATCAGGGTGGATTTGATTTAAATCAAACTGATTTAAATCACGATTTAAATCACTAGTCAGTAAGGCTTGATTTAAATCCTAGTTTTCTACATAGACTAATTCTTGCTGGTATAACTTTAATATACAAGTAGATGAAGATTTTTAGAATAACAACTTTTCATATTAGTTTTTTTATCCCCAGTTTAATAGGTTAATCATTCATATTTGGAGAACTTTTCTGTTGTACTTAGGAAGGAGAAAAATAATCATTACCTTAATAATAACACTTTAAATAGATTTATTCAACTGAAACAATAACATTCCAGCATATGGTATTTGCTTAAACAAACATCCATGTTTAACTAATTTGGCTAAACAAAAATATATATATTTTAAGAAACGTATACTATCAGCCCCTTCCTCCTCACACTTAGTTTCACTTTCTTCTTGTGCAGATCTATTCCACTCCAAACAATCAGAAAAATATTGTTTCTATTCTATTCACTGAACTTCTTGAAACTTAGCACTGAAGGGGTTGATTCTGTATTCATAGGTTTGTAGAAGTTAGGATGAAGGTCTTTTTCTTAACTCTGTTCATGTTATAACATTTTTGCTGTGAAGAAGAGGCATGTGATCTCCGCTGAGTCAAATTCAGTTTTGAGAACTGCAAAGTAAACCGAGCATCTGTGATAATATCTTGTAGGCAGAGAAACTGCCCAATAATCTTACAAAAACCTCTGGAAGAGCATGACATTGTGAATGGATTCATGGAATTTATTTACCAAAAAAATTAAACATATACAGCCTTATTCTACATAATTAAAAAACGAATCTTTATTTCATGATGGAATAACCTTTGGATGGTAATATATTTTCCTCAAAAAGTAATTTATTTAAAAAAATCAGATTTAAATAAAAAAAAAATCAGATTTAAATAAAAAAAAATCAGATTTAAATAAAAAAAAATCAGATTTAAATTTAAAAAATCAGATTTTTTTTTTAATTTTTTTTAAAAAATCATTGATTTTTATCCACCCTGCCAGCAATAAATGCAAAAAGATCAACTTCAATGTGGTCATGCTCTTCTGGTAGGTGCAGAGTGCTGAGTGGTCTGTGGTGAATAGGGAGAACAATTGTAGAACAGTGCTGCTAAGTCGTGCACTGGGAAGATATGTATCGCTGGGAGCTGTAGCTGAGAACTAGGAGACTTCAGAAGAGATGCAGTATTTGGCTTATATGGTAGTAGATTGCTGTACTCAATAGCTTTTTTTTTTATAACTGGCAACTTGGGAGCTGCAGTTGAGAACAAGGAGAATCAAGGAAAGAGGCAAAGGTGGGAGATTTACTAAAACTGGAGAGTGCAAAATCTGGTGCAGCTGTGCATGGTAGCCAATCAGCTTCTAACTTCGGCTTGTTAAATTAAGCTTTGACTATAAAACCTGGAAGCTGATTGGTTTTTATGAAGAGCTGCACCAGCTTTTTCACACTCCACTTTTAGTAAATAACCCCAAATATGTCTGATAGCTAATATTCAGTTCAGTACTAGTTGGACTTTTCATTGCATCTTTTAAAAAGCAATTCCCCAATGTAAATGAATCTCTGTGCATCTTTTAACAGCAGTGCCTGAATTTCCTATTATTGTACAGTATTTATATAGTGCCGACAGTTTGTGCATCCCTTTACAATATAAAGGAAGACCGTACAATTTAAATACAATAATTAAAGAGGGTTAGGAAAGCCCTGCTGGGTGAGAGCTTACAATCTAAAAGTTGAGATTTCTCTCCACTTCCTGTCCCAGTGACTATTCTTCCGCCAGTGCAGGAAGTCAGGGAAAATCTCCAACGGATACACAGACAGCAACAAAACATGGGAAACCAGGTGAATGTCCCTTGTATACGTGCAGCTGCGGGACAAGAAATGCCTCAGCCATTATGATTAGCTTTGTACAGTGACGGCTTCCTGGTGGGATTGCTTAGATGGGTTCAGACTAGGATCTGAACACGCCTCTGCTCATCCCTAACCACCTTGAGAGATGACATCCAAAGAGCTTGATTAATCTATCTTTTGGTTAAAAAGGCTGATCCCCACCATCCTCCCCTTTCACCTGTGCAACCTGTCCTGTATAGTCGTTGCCATGCAGCACTGACATCTTTACATCTGAGGTGCCTGAGATAGGTGGATCTGTTTTGTGATGCTCCCTGGTCTTTCCTGCATATGCAAGTCCACACCTTTTGACAAACAACATATGTAAATGTTGGTGTTCCCGGTGGTCTCTCTGGAGAAGTCCAACATGTCCCCTGCTGAATCAGCTCTGCAATCAGCAGGGAGCATAAACTTTGGCAGAATCTTCTTAAACAACCACAAGCTTCTCTTGATGAAAAATAAATCCATTCAAAAAGACAAATTTAAAAATCTTCCAAATCAGCAGCTGGTATGGCAAGCCTGGGCCAGCATAGAGCTCTTAGTTGGAATGATTTGCCAGTACCAACAAGGAGCTCTGAGCTGGGATGGCATGCCAGGGCCAATGAGGAGCTCTTAGTTGGGATGGAGAGCCAGGGCCAACGAGGAGCTCTTAGCTGGGATGGAGAGCCAGGGCCAACGAGGAGCTCTTAGCTGGGATGGAGAGCCAGGGCCAAGGAGGAGCTCTTAGCTGGGATGGAGAGCCAGGGCCAAGGAGGAGCTCTTAGCTGGGATGGAGAGCCAGGGCCAAGGAGGAGCTCTTAGCTTTGATGGAGAGCCAGGGCCAACGAGGAGCTCTTAGCTGGGATGGAGAGCCAGGGCCCATGAGGAGCTCTTAGCTGGGATGGAGAGCCAGGGCCCACGAGGAGCTCTTAGCTGGGATGGAGAGCCAGGGCCAACAAGGAGCTCTTAGCTGGGATGGAGAGCCAGGGCCAACGAGGAGCTCTTAGGTGGGATGGAGAGCCAGGACCAACGAGGAGCCTCTGAGCTGGGATAGAGAGCCAGAACCAACGAGGAGCTCTGAGCTGGGATGGAGAGCCAGGACCAACGAGGAGCTCTGAGCTGGGATGGAGTCATCGAGAGCCAGGACCGACAAGGAGCTCTGAGCTGGGATGGAGAGCCAGGGCCAACGAGGAGCTCTTAGCTGGGATGGAGAGCCAGGGCCAACGAGGAACTCTGAGCTGGGATGGAGAGCCAGGACCAACGAGGAACTCTGAGCTGGGATGGAGAGCCAGGGCCAACGGGGAGCTCTGAGCTGGGATGGTGTACCAGGGCCATAAGGAGCTCTGAGCTGGGGTGGTGTGTTGGTGCCAATAAGGAGCTCTAAGCTGGGGTGGAGAGTCGGTCCCAATGAGGGGCTCTGAGCTGGGGTAGTGTGCCTAGGCCAGTGAGGGGCTAGTGAGCTGGGATGACGTGCAGAGGCTCTGAGCTGCTGAACTTTTTGAGGCTCCAGTCAGCTCTGAAGCATCTACTCAGTAAATCCCAATGTATGAAGAGTAGTAACTTACAAAATTAGATA